CGTTGGCGACGGCGCTGCTCGAGCCGGTCCAGTTCAGAGGCACGCCGAGGGCGGCCTGCACGTGCGGTTGGTTGAGGTAGGCGGCGTAGTAGGGGTCCGGGAACAGTGTCGGGTCGACTTGCGTGACGTCGTAGTAGTCACGGCCCGACTGCTGGATGTACGGGTCGCGGATGTAGCGTGAGCAGAACGTCTCGGCCGCCTGGCAGACGCGGTTGACGTTGGCGTTGATGCCGAGGTTCTCCGGGTCGTCGAGGCGCGCGAGACGTTGGCACTCGTCAATCTGGTCGGCGCAGCCGCCGGGGCGCTCAAAGGCGTCGATCATGCCGAGGTACGTCGCCTCGTCGACTGTCGCAATGCCGTACGTATTATTGTAAGCCATGGTTGCGTACGACGGCCACTGCACCTTGCGGTCGATGCATCCGTTGACGAGGAGCAGCGTGTCGAGGTTGAGAATGTAGTTCTCGCCCTCGCCGCTGTCGAGAGTGCCGTCGCGGATCTTTTCATTTTGCTCCTGGAAAAAGGCGGCCAGGGCAGGGCCGTAGCGACCGCCGTACGACTGGGTCGCGATACTGATGCGGTCGTCGTTGGGGTGGTAGCCGGGGAACTCCTGAAACCAGACCTGAGCAAAGTGCCACAGAGAGATGGCACCGTTGCGGCTGCCTTGAGAGGTGGCGTCACGGTTGTTGCTTGGGTACGTGCCGACGTGGAAGGTAACGTTCTGCTCGGGGATCGGGGCACCAGGAGGGAGGGTCTGCACGCTGCCGAGCAGGTTCCTCGTGACATTTCTGAGGGTATCATACGAGAAACCCACCTGCACAGGCTGGTCGATGTAGAGCATGTTAACTGGATGAACGTCAGCTGGATAGCTGACAAAGCGAACAGCTTCATAGCCTACCCTCGTTGTTCCACGACCAAGGGTTGAGCCTTGTCGTGTTGGAGTCTGGGTTGACGAAGCAAGGACCGTTCTCATAGAGGAGGCCGCCCATGGACGAGCTGCCAGGGCCACCGTTCATCCAGATCGAGAGTGGCGCATTTTCGGGATCCTTTCGGGCCTCGAAGAACCAGAAGAAGGTATTGACGGGATAGGTCTGCTCCTGGCCAAGGCCGTCAATGTGGCCTGGGGGCAGATGGATGTAGCCCGAGTACGACTTGACCCCAGGGGTTGTCTCGCAGATGCCGGGCTTTGGTGCGTCAGTGGATTCTCAAGTAGCTGATTTGCCATTGAAGGCTCACCTCCTTGAAGCTGATAGTGATGTTCTCGTTGAACTTGGACTTGAGCACAGTGAGGCCTTCGGGTGCAGGAGGGAATTGGGCGACGACGGGAGCAATGAGAGCTCCGGCGACCGCGAGCACAGACTTGAACGATGGTGCCATGATCTCGATCAATTGTCACTGTTCAAGATGAACAAGTCCAACCAACAGAGTGATAGAAATACTAATAATTCTATCCTTCCGAATTGACCACCACGCTCAAGAGGGGAAGACTCACGACGACACACATCTTCACTGACTGACCGGGCGGCTCTTTAATAAGACATTAATTCCAAGTCGTGCCTCGAGATGCTTGATAATTTGCGGGTTTAACCGCCGCCGAGCAGATTTCTACTGCAGCTTGCTCCTCGGTGTACTACCTTCCCTATTCGGACTGCATGGTCGATCATCGCGATCTCTTATCGGCAGGTGTGGCACGTTCCCTTGCATGGAGGCTGCTTTACCTGAATGATTTGCACATTTGAGACTCTGGGGATGCTTGTGTTTTCCATGATGCGATTTTCGCTTCCAATAATGAACGCCTCTGTGTGGAACTGGTGTCAATAATCGCAAAGGCTGAAGCTACTCGAGTTGCCCACACATGATGGCCAATAATGATAATTGTCTTGATAGAGCATCTCAGGATGCAGTGCTATCTTACCTCAGGTTCTCGAAAGTGTCTACTCTTGTAGGCAAATCATAGTCTCAACGCTTTTTGGAAGGTGTCTAATCGATGGACCGCTGTGAGCGGGGAAGACATGCGGCCGAAGAGGGGCAGAGTCCGGCTCAACGCGGGGTCATGAACCGGGGTCTCCCGGATCGTTTCGAGCCGAGGCCGAGAACCTGAGCACCGCTGTGACCCAAGGCTGGCCGTAGGAGATGCTCCGGGATCATGAGGGGATTTGAAGAGTCATCCTAAAATCCTGCGTGCCGGCAAAGTGAAGGGAACACGGTGCTAATTATGAGTTTTGAAAATTGAAGAGGAACAGTCTTTTTCTCTATGCCTCTCAAATGTTCAGCCTTGTCACTCACATTCGTACAGTATCACAGTCGCTTGAGGAATTCGCGGATGGCCCGCGACATGTTTCCCTCATCATAGCCCACCGCAGCATCCAAAATGGTCTGTGTATGCGCCTCGCCCACAGCCGCAACAAACACGTAATCTGCATCTGGGAACCGTGCAGGAACATCCGTCCCCTTATCGACGACAAGATCTGCCCCCCTGAGGTGCACCTTGCTGAATTCGATGTTTGAATCCATCAGGACCTCGGCAGTACCCGTCAAGACGATGGCCTTCCGGACGACAGGCTTACCAGCAGCAGGTCTGAGCACGCTGTCCCATACTTGAACAGAATCAGGCGCGTCGAGCAGGTTTGCCCAAGGCTCGTCGACGTTGGGCGCAAACCCAAACTTGAACAGCAACGATGCTTTGCGGTCCAAAAAGTCCGTTGCCTCGTTTGCGTCGAAAGAAACCTGTTCCGTGGTCATGGCAATCCACGCGAAATGATCACAGCGGCAGCGAGTTGGTCTCCGTGCAGTCAATCGGCAGCGGGTAAGGTGGCGGCCCGGCAAAGTGCCCCAGCAGCGAGGGCCACGAGGTGGGCGCCGGCACTATCGGCCATGACCACAATTTTCGAGGGTTTCAGGGCCCTCGGTATCAAGCAGCGTCTGGGGGGCCACTTCGCCGCCCTGGATGAGGCTGCGAGGGGATAGGGGTGCCCCGGTGTGAGAGGAGTATTCCCGGAAAGACAAACTTGCTTTGCGCTGATGGTCTTTCCCCGCGGCGCAGAGCCATGGGAATGTGCCCCCGCGACTGCAATAGGGTTTGGGTAGCCGCCGCCATGGGCATAGTAGATGGTTGGGCCGGTGGCTGGGGCGCCAGGCGGAGTGATAATGTGCAGGACGGCAGGCGGGGTTGCAAAGTGCTGGCCGCCGGCAGTCGAGGCTGTGACAGAGCGCAGGGAGACGCTCTTGGCGTAACAGTACTCACGGATGAGATCACCCGTTAATGCGCTGGGCGGGCTAAAAGCCCGCTGTCTTGGGGTCAGGACAGCCGACTTGGACTGCAGGATGGACAAGGCGAGGCGCTGGCGCCAGTGGAGGTTCTGCGCATCTGGGGAGAGCTTGGAGAGCACTACGCCGGAAATGAACGTGTACACGGCGCGGATGTCTGCGGTAAGTTGTCAGATTTCTTCTCTTTCCGATAGTACGCTCCTGAATGAAGGGATAGAGAACAGTACGCACAGATGAGACGCCTGCGCCACGGTAGAGTCCGTTGCTCCCATGGCGTCAGCTCAACGCTGTTGGGGGGTGCCGAGGCTGGTGTCATTTCTACTTGCTGGTCTCTCACTGATCTCGGTAGCAAAACCGCACAAGACGAAGCGGTTGGCAAGCATTCATTCGATGCCCAGGCGGTGGACGCGCATAGCTTTATACCGCAGCCAGCATATCTGCGTGCCGAGGATGTGGAGAAGGCTGATTCGAATTGCGTTAGTACCCCAGATTTAGCTTAGTATAGATCGACACAGGGGTCCGCCAGCGGGCCGTCGGGCGGATTCGAGGGCGCGCTTCCGGGGCCGCGTCGACCAGGAAGAGAGGAGCTGTCTCAACACTTTCACGAGTTCCGAGGAGCGGCTTCTGAAAAACGGCTTCTTAGTCCCGTACGGCCTGCGTCGTAACTTTGGAGCGGTCAGCATAGCCGGGGAGCCTCGGTCGCAACACTAGCCGCTGTTGATTGCTGGGCGAAATGGGGGATCTGTTGAACCAAAATTGGGGGATTGTCTGGGTTTGTGGTCACTGTATAGGATTCACTGATATGGTGATGACCGGGGCTGGGATTCACTGCTCCCTCGAGCACGTGATTTACAGCTCTCGTGATCTGTAAATCAGATGGGCACTAGTGATACAAGTAGGTAGCGGTGAATTCGAGAGACAGGATGAATTACATCACAAGTCTTATTTCACCAACCCTGCCTATTCAGAGCTCTCAGGCATGGCCACGGTACTGAGTCGGGTAAGATACAAGCAGTGAAGCCCTCTTGACAGGATCAGATTTAAAGTTCTTATGTTCTACACGGTGCATGTAAGTTTACAAGGCGCCCACAAACACGTGATTGTAGAGCTGTTGATGATAGATAGGTTTCCTGGTACTACCTGTTCAAAGGCTGGTGGTCTCTGATCTGCAGTCCATTTCCTACCCATATTGATTATATCCCGTGTCGCTGGGGCATCCTCAATAGTTCCCCGCGTCGTGTGCCAAGTTTTACACCGAGAGACTTCGTGTTTGTAATGTGATGTCACTTATTGTGTCTTGGGATATCATCTGAACTAGTCTTGATGACCGATGCGTCCGAGATTGATAGGCAAAGGTATCGAAGTGACAAGGCATATATCCACACATGTAATTTATCGGCGCCGCCAGCTTCCCCACCCCCCCCCCTCCCCCCTTCAGACCGCGATCGCCTGATTCGAATCCTCACGGGCAACCTCCTTCCTCTCAGTAGCAGTTGCACCATCACCAGAGACCTTCCGCCCAACGCACCGTCCAGGGTGCCATGCAGCAAACAGCATGACAGCCAAGACGACGGGCGCAAACTCGAGCACGCCAAAGTACACCTCATTCGTCTGCAGCTCCCCGCCAAGACCCTCTGCTGTCTCAGCCAGACGGAAGATCGTCCTCAGGTAGACCAGCAGCGTTGCCGCGCCAAACGCCGACACGAACGCCGTCAACCCAGACGCGGCCACGGCACGGCGTGCGCGCCAGACGAAGATGCCCGAGCTCATGACGAAGCACCCCATGGCGAAGACCTGGTAGGCGAGACCCGCGAGCAGGATGTTGTTGGCGGTGGTCGGGTCGTCGCGGTTCGACTGCGAGACGCCGATGAGGGCGGCGCCGGCGACCTGGGTGATGGTGGCGATGACGTCGCTCGTGACGAAGAACCAGAGCACAAACTTGGGGGGTAGTGGTGCAAACTTGCGGCCGAGGCGGTGGATGAGGGCCGAGAGGACGGTGTAGATGCCCGCCGCGAGAAAGACGGGGGCCGTAACGATGAAGAAGTAGTTGAGGATGAAGTAGATAAGGTTGTAGGGGTTCTTCTTAGCCGAAAGGGCGCGGGCGACGTAGCCGACGACCTCGAGGACGAGACCGATGGGGAAGGTCAGGAAGTAGTACGACTTGTAGCGCAAGGACTGCCAGAGGTGTACGATGGCGAGGAGCAGGAAGAGGACGGCGGCGAGGACGGCGAGGGCGAAGGATGGGGTGTAGCCGTAGATGATGACAGGCGTGTCCCATTCACCTGTCGGTGGAGGAAAGTTGGGGTCGGTGTGGCCCTCAATGGGTCGGCCGCCTGTGAAGGTTAGCTGCCTGATATCGTCGCTGTAATCTTCAAGTGCGCAAATGAAGTATTACCATCTGAGTCGCTCATCTTCAAGACTGTATGTATGTGACGATGGTAGCTTTCGAGCTGGAATAGGTGCCAATGGTACACCACGTAGCGGGATACGCCCTAACAGGCTGTTGCTGCTGTTTGCGCCGGACAACGTAGGTTGCGATAGAGTTGACTATCAAACGTTCTTTGAAGCCAAGCTGCCTGTGCCATGGCGGTTGCTTTAATAAAACAAGCAAGGCGTGGGGAAACGTCCCTGAGATCGAGTCGTCGGTTCAAGATCTTGCAAATGGTAATTTGCTTTGTCGATCGCCCAACAGCTCGCTCTAGGTGTCCATGTGGCTTAAGCCTAGCGAGTCCCCTGCGCGTCCAATCCACTTGGTCTTATTGGCGCCTCAGCTACGGCGTGGGTTCACCCACAGAGTCTATGACGATGCTCTCCGAGGCCCCTGTCCCCGTGCTGATGGTCCCTGTCGCCGTCCATGTGGAGGTGGGTCGAGTAGGGGTCAAGGTGCTACTCCAGACGTAGCAGCACCCTTTCCGGCATGCATCGCCTCCGTAGCGAGAGAGGATTGAGGTACATCTAGGCTGTGATTGATGTTGTACTCTCGGCGATATGTCTTTTCCATCGTCTACGGTACGCGAAGCGCGTTTGGCAATGCTTCTTGGGTACTGCATCTCTCCCTTCACAATCTGAAGCTGCCACGGCGCTCGTACAAATTTGCTGTGAAGGCTCTTCTTGGTCCACGAGTCAAATTCCAGATTTAGATCGGGCCCGGCCCTCGGCATACTGAGAAGCCCGAGGTGCGGGAAATGAGTGGGTCCTCACGCCGACAGCACCACTCCTCACATACGGAGCTCGTTCCGATCCTCACGGCGAGCTGACTATTCTCTCATCGTTATCATATGTTGTGGAGCGTTCACGTTGAGAGTGAACTGCTTCGTCAGTGATTCTCGTGTCATCCATGAGCCCATTTGAAGATGAACCGCCTCGTTACCTGGTGGATAGCCATCCAGCGGAGCACCGATGGCCGAGCGCCGATGGATGTCTGTGAAAATGCAAACACCGTGCCGTTATTCGAATCGGGTAAACTGCTCGCTTGCATATTCATCTTGCTTTTCAAAGTCGATGATGAGGACTCTCTGGATTGAGGCCCAAATGCGCCCTGGCTTTCTTTCGGGGATCTGGGGTTGTCTCACGATTTGACCGGCCTGTTGTCTGCTTCGGCTCCCAATACGAACTTACCATTCATATTCCATGGACACGTAGCCCGACTGACTTCAGACTGGTGATACGCAAGGGCTTCAATCCCGATGCTATCAAAAAGACGAGCTACGCCGCTCAGCCCTTTTTTCTGGGTATTGCCAAAAAAGCATGAGGCCATGTTGTCGTGGAAGAGGCACGCCGCCTGATATCTGGACTTTGTTCAGTACTGTCTCATTCAGCAAGGGGGCCTTCCATGCCAATAGGAGGAAGACTTACAGGCTAGCGATGTCTTTCGAGAAAGCCACGTTCTCGACGTAAGCCATGTGTCCACTCGGGCGGAGCTTACTAGCCGTTGAGAGGACTAATACGTCCCTCCGACCGCCTCGCCGCCATCAGTGCTCGGTTCATTTGCTCCCGCGAGAAGCAGCATGTAACAGCTTTGATGACTTAAATAGCCGCCTCTCACTGCCCTTGGTGTAGAGGAGCCCTTGATTCGAAACTCATCAATGATCGTTGTAAGAAAAACGAGAACCAACTCCAGAGATGGCATTGCAAAGCTAGCAAGAAGATCAATGGATCTTCCATTTCTCATGCATTCACAGAGGGCGTCGGATCATACCCTGTCACCCTCGGCCTGTCCCGTTCCTCGACGAGGTCGTACCGAGCCAGGCGTTGACGTCAGCATCTTGATGAAAATTGGTGGCGCGTTCACCCGTACGACTGCGGCTTCTTGTCAAGAAACGGAGGTCTGATCTGTCAAAAGTTCCGGTGAGCTTGGTTGTACTTGTGCTCAGTACAGCCTGGGCTGAGACTCCATGATCAGCAGCTTGACTTTGATGATCGGGCAGGTCTAGGCTTGAGACCTCAGAACGGGTAAAGACCTTTCGGAATGGCAATGGGAACGTGGGATCTAGCCGTAAGCAAGCTTGGCGTATCTGGCCATTGAAGACGGTGCGAGGAGCTCAGTCCATGAAGCAACTGTGCGGACCAGCCGAGGCAAGCAGCATGGGCACAGAGCGCTCCTGCGCGAAAAGAACCACCACAAGACATTCAAGCATAGGTACAGCTAGGGGGACGCATCTGCCACCCTGCAGCGGTTGGACCCCTGGCGCCAGGTCGCCCCTGCCGGCGGGCCTAGCAGGGATCAACAGGCACTGGAAGCGTCGCTGGAAGGTGCGCTGGGCACCCCTACCTGCCATGCGCTCCGCTGCCGCTGCCAACTGGCCTCCGAGCTTTGGAGCTCCCCACCTGAAGCTCCTTCAACCAACAGGCCTTGCCTACGTTGAAGCTTCAGGTTCCTGGAGCTTTCCTCCTCCAACAATGATCAATCCACATCACCGACAGTGTATCGCAACCGCCGTCAACACGACCAAAACATTTCCGAAAAATTCCGTCCCGAACGATCCAGCTACAGAAGCCAAGCTCGAACAGCACCCGATTCAAATATACCCATGCCTCCTCTACCCTCCGAAAATGACGACTCGCTCCCCCGCGTCATCACCTATTACCAGACCCATCACACTCGTGATGGCAAGCCGATATCCATCCTACCCATCCTGACCCAGCCAGGCATTGCCGTCACCCACGTCATTCTTGCTGCCATACACATCAACGACGACCCGTCGGCCATAACACTCAACGACCACGCCCCCTCCCACCCCCGTTTTCAGACCCTCTGGGCCGAGCTGCGCGTCCTCCAGGCGAGCGGCGTCAAGGTCATGGGCATGCTGGGCGGCGCCGCCAGGGGCTCCTACGCCAAACTCGACCGCGACGAGGTCACCTTCGAGATGTACTGGACACCCCTACGAGATCTCATCCGCGAGCGCGAGCTCGACGGCATCGATCTCGACGTCGAGGAGTACATGAGCATAGAGGGCATGATGCGCCTCCTCGACCGCATACGCGCGGATTTTGGACCCAAATTCCTCGTCTCCATGGCGCCTGTCGCTGCTGCCATGCTCGACCCCGAGAGGAATCTCAGCGGCTTCGACTACGAGATGCTCGAGCTCCTCAAAGGTGACCACATCAACTGGTACAACTGCCAGTTCTACAATGGTTGGGGCGACGGCAGCAACTCTTTCATGTACGAGATGATGCTTGCCAAGGGCTGGCCGCAGCAGAAGATTGTCATGGGGCTGCTGACGAGCCACGAGAACGGCAACGGCTGGGTGCCGTGGGAGTCGCTCGGCGCCGTCCTCCTCCGGCTCCGAGGCCGCTACAAGGCCTTTGGAGGCGTGATGGGCTGGGAGTACTTCAACGGGTTGCCGGATAAGGAACGGCCCTGGGAATGGTGCCGCTGGATGACGACCATGGTGCGGCCGGACCGCGTCGCGAGAGCCACAGCCGGCATCGCAGCGGTAGCAGTAGAAACAGCAACACCAACAACCACCGTGTCTTCTGCCGCTGAGACGAGCATCGTAGCCGCAAAGGTGCAAAAGCAGTTGGTCGACGAAGCCGACCCCGACTCGCCGTCTAGCAAGGACGCACCGCTGCCTGCTTCGTTTGAATACTTTTCGGACTACGAAAGCGATGGCTGAATGGAGACACGGCCCTAGAACCCTTATCCGCGTTTCTCGATCCTGCCAAACAGAGTGTCACGGCGGTGGCCCGGATTGAACCCGCAATTGTGACATCCCTCAGTGGGTGTGTCGGTACTACGGCCTGGACCCTTATTTGGCTTCTGCCTTGCCCGGCGGTGTGCCACCCAACAAGCATCTGTCGCCTTCGCTGGCCGCGGCCTGCGTGCGCCGTCAACCTTGTTCGCGTGGCGTCCCGACGCGCATGGAACCAATCGATCTGGAACCGGCGGCGGATGGCCAAAGGGTCACCTCGGGTGTGCTAGTGGGCAGCATGTGAACCGAAATACTACTCGAGCAATGACTTCTTCCGCGTACACAGACAGACGCATTCTTGCCCTGCGTCTTTTTCCTCTTGGCGCCACTCGTGTGCAATTGGGCCGGCCTGGGCGTTTGCCAGATATTCGCTCGTCGTCGTCACAAATGGTACGGCGGACCTAATGTTACCCAAAAGTCCCCCGCCTCGTTGAGCTTTGCTGGTGGGTTTGGAGAGGGTTGGGTGCATCAAAAAGGAGGGGCAAAAGGGGGTCACGGACTGGATGGACGCATCTGTTGCTGACGTCTCGCCCAGAACGGCTTGGCGCAACCCACCGTGTCCACGGCTCTAGCCCGCCAACGGAGGCTTCCCGAACCAGTCTTCGACACAGTCGAACCCAATACCCTGCCGTAACGACAAGAGGGGGCAGGGTCGTGCACCGCCTCCCCCGCCAGAGGCTGACCTGACCTTGCATCACTGTTCAGGGTCCAGTGGCAGTCGGTCAACTTTCAGGAACCGAGCAGCGTCTCGACTCGCCTTACCATCCCGCGCCAGAAAAACCATCCTTTGATCCGTCTTTTTAGGTTTTTGTCGGCCTCGTAACGTCTCATCTGTCCGTCATCCCGTCGTCGAGTTTGAACCTCCCAGCTTTAACATCGTGACGAGCCTCGCCTCACCTTGTCGCATTGCGGTTCAGGGAAAGGAAAAGCTCATCAAGCTTCTCGCCACCTACACGCCAGTCGTTGGCCTGCGGCCCACTGCAGCCCATGGAGGCCTCTCGGGTTTCCGCCGCTCTCGACAATGCAACCACAGCAACACTGTCTGAGAAGCGCTCCGAGAAACACGCAGAGGAGGTGACAACGGCTCCCATCATCTACACGGATTATCACAGCCGCAAAAACCCCTATGCATCGCTACTTTACTTGCCCATGGAACTGCAGTTTCTCATCGGCTCTCATCTCGACTATGGCGACTTGCAGAACCTACGCTGCACCAATCAGTTTTACCGTCAACTCATCGACATCAACTTTGTGCGAACATGTCTGGGCTCTCTCGCAACCGACAATTCGCTACGTTTTGTCTGCCGCAGTTGTCTGCGCTACGACGGCACCGGCCGTCGGCTGCTGTGGCCACTCGCGCCGTGTGCTCAGCCTGCGCCATCCGACGGTGAGGTGTCAGATGACGGCGCGTCTATCGAGGCCCCGCCGGCGACTAGCATGACCTACTGCCCCGATCCCAGCGTCCCACTTGCCGCGAACTGCGCCGACTGCGCCGTCCGCCAGGGCCAGCTTTGCCCCGGCGAGTATGTCCTGACCGAGGGTGGCGAGCGTAAGGTTCGCGTGTGCCGCTGGTGCGGCTGGCCTTGCACCAATGACCCCGCGAAGGAAGAGTACTGGCCACGGTCTGCCCGTGAACTGCATCCGCGCTGCGCCCAGATTTACCAGATGGTCATGGTAGGCTACTACATTCTGGTGTGTATCCGGTCCGGCATTGCTTTCGTCACCTATATCCTTCTGTGGAGGTTATTTGCGGACAACCAAGTTGTTGTCGTGCCGAGTGTGGTAGGTCGCTTGTTTATTGTTGAGTTTTCACAACTGACGTGATGCAGATGGCGTTCCTTCTCATGGGTGTCATCCTCGTTATTCTCTGGCTGCGTGGCCGTGAGGTTAGGACATATCATATCGTTGGCAGTCTTGAGTTCACCATCCTGGGTCTCGGCATCCCGCCCCTCTATGTCATGATTAGAGAGATGCAGGCCGAGTATGATGCCGGCAAGGTTGCTGCTGAAGTGTTGCTTATCATGCATCTGTGAGTCTGCTGAAGTCTGGCATCAACCGCTCGTGCTAAGCTTTGTAGTATCATCCGCTTGATCAATGTGCTGGGTAACATTGTTCTCTTCTTCGAGTATGATGTGACGAAACATCACGCGCCGGGCCTTTCACCCTTGCGACGCCATCTTATCAACCCCCTCATCGCTGGACTTGTATTCTGGACGTCGCCTCGCGCGTTGGAGAACCTGTGGATCGGTCGCGGGAAGCATCCTCGCCACAAGTCATTGCGCCGGGGGCTAGGCAAGTTCCTCAAGAACGCGCAGAGCGGTCTGGGCGAGTTTTGGTTGTTCCGGGGCAGAGAGCCGTCCGCTCATCCGGCGACACAGCACTGAAAGCCCGTGTTGGCTGCTTTGGTTGCGCGATGGTTGGCTATGTTGAGTTCAAGGCGCGGCGTTTGTGACGTGAGGTTTGGAAGGTTGGTTTCGGCGTTTACTGGAGTGTGTTCTCATGGTACGATATTGGATGTTTGTCGAGAAGGTCCCGACATAAGGAAATGAACCTTCATGACAACCCCCCCGGTCCGTCACGCCCATGTTCCTAGCCGGTACTAACCCTTTAGTGAGAACGTGAGGGGATATTGGAATACTGGCCAGATGCACCACCCACGGAGATGAGAAAGAGACACCATCATCGATGTGCCGAAGCTTCTCTTCTCAGCTGAATGCAACATTCGCAAAGGCCTATCACCGACCATACACAGATGAATCTCCTCAGACGCTCCTCATGCAAAGCCTATCACCGTCGGTCCTAACGACTTTTTTGTTGGACGCTGCCTCCGATACAAGCAATCTGTGTAGGATTCCGCGGCCGAAGCCGGCGCATCGGCTCTCGGAGCAGCTTTCGCCGAGAGACTGTCCATATGTCTCGTCGGCCATCAGCTCCTATTCTTGCGTTGGGTTATTCGTCATGCGGGATTGCCCCGATCTGTGCGGCGATTCATCGATGTTAGGGAGAAACCCTCGGCAGTATGATACTGCGCTCACTGGCCGACAACGCAGGACAGCGTCGGTGAAAGGGGAGCTGGGCCAGCGAATTGCTTTTTTCCGCTGGGGCTACGTTTGGTAATGCCCGTCAGAGGCCCACTGTGTTCTCCACGCCGGAGAATCTCACATGCGAATCGAGCGGCTTTATGACCTTGGGTTTCGGCGATAGGTCATGTCAGCACGGCTTTCACAAGAGAGATGCTACTCTGAAGCATTGTCTGTCGGGTCTTACAGCTACTTGGCTGTCGGACTTTGGCTCAACCGTGTCGGTCTTATGCCATCGGAGCTGCCATCGGCGGCTTTTCTGTGGTACCCTGTTCGGCAATTAGGTGCGTTGGCTGACGCGAGTCAGATTGCCGACGATGCCCTCTTGTCATTCCAAAGTATCCGGATGCTACCACAATCACGGCACTTGACATGTCCAAATATGCGACTATCAGATTGGCAAAGCCCGGCAGATGAGTTGAGCCGCAGACGGGGGCCAGAAAGTGTCGTCGAAATCGATTCGGTTATTTCCCAACGCCAGCCGTAGGTATCATGTATCGTATATGCATGTAACAACCACCATGCTCCTGGCCAAGTCTCCTCAGCTGTCCATCCCATAGGACCACATTTCATACAGACCGTCGCCAGCCTCCCCGAACCCTGTTCCGAATCCCCCAAATTGGGCTCCAAGCCCAGGATCAACGCTGCCCCCGACAGCGACGATATCCGCCCGTCCCACGAGCTCTCGCACCGCCGCCGCCGCCTCACCGGCACCGAAGCCCTCGAGCACCTCGATCGCCCGCCAGACCGCCGCTCTCGCCCCGCCACCTACAGATCCGTCGCTGCCATATGCAGCAATGTACCCTGCGAGCGTGACTGCGGCGTTCCACGCCAGGAGCACCGGCTCCGACCACCCCATGTCAAGCGGACCACCGCCCGCCTGCTGCAGGATGTGCGTCGCGGCAACGCCGTGGCGCGCCGCCCTCTCCGCTGGCGCGGCATCGCCTGCCGATGGCAACAGGATGCTCGGCCGCAGCAGGGGCATGAGCAGATCGAGTCAGCGCAGATCGAGCAGCAGCGCGTTGGCCCGGCACTCCACGGAGGCCCCACAGGCGGCGAAGTTTCCGATTGCCAGACCTTGATAAGGAAACCGATGCGGAGAGATCGCCGCCCTCCGT